ATGCTTATTTTAAACAGATAAAATTTAAGAAATCGGTTTTGGGGCAACATAGCTTTAATTACTACAGTGGGAAAATGCTTTATGGTCTTTAATTAATTAAATTAATTGTTACTATTTTTTTAAAGCAAATCAGTATAATCAGAAGTGGAAAAAGTACTGGTATTTAAACAATTACATCAGTTAATTTTGTTTTGTTTCTATTTCTCTTTCTTAATTCAAGAGACCAACTGGATGAACTTGTTGAAATTTCAGGCACTGCAAAGAATACTCGCAAAAGGTGAAACAAAATACATAATTATTCTATTCTACTTTTAATATGCAAAATAAATAATACACTAAAATTAAAATAGAATGGTATGACAATAGAAAATACAATGTGCTTGTAAGTGTAGGTAAAACATTTATTGATCCAAGGTAGGTAATAGAAAATTATGGTAATACAAGAAGAGAAAAACTGCTTAAACTAAACCTCACATATCTGAGCAATGCAAACTGAAAAACCATGCAACTATATATAATCAAAGGTTACCTTTAGTGAAAACCTCATGTCAAATACATGAGTACATTTAGAGATGCAGCCATCTAAATGAAGATGTAAATCATGATTTTTCATGTAATAGTTGAGCTTTGGACCCAACTCTCTCACTCCAAATCCAATGCCCCCCTTTATATCAGGTGTCCGCTTCTCATCAGAAGCCCCCTTCACATCACACTCCACACTTTACATAAGCAACCCCCTTCATATTAGAGTCCCTCCCTTTTATATCAGAGTCCTACCTTCACATCAGGAGTACTCTTCCCATCAAGAGCCCCACTTCACATCACAGTCCCCATTCACATCAGGGGTCCCCCCTTTTACTTTAGCGTCCCTCCTTCATATTGTAGTCCCTCCCTTTCATATGACAGTCCTCCCTTCACATCAGGAACCCTCTTCAAATCAAGACCCCCCCTTCACATCACAGTCCCCCCCCCCAGCACCATCCTTTTCTACAGAAGTCTACAGCACCCCCGGCCGAAACCAGACAACAGTCCATTTGAGGATGGCTGCTGTATACCACTGAAACCCTTCACACAGCAAATATTTCATACAATAGGAAATACATATTCATTTGATTATACCTGTAAAAATAATTCTGTTATAGTTTGAACAATCTGATATTTTTTGGTATTTCCAACATACATTGTTCACTCAGTTTTGCAATTTAGTTTTTTTATATCAGTGAACACCACTGTGTATTTTATCTCATAGAAGTATACTATATATTCTAGGGAAGACCAACTCAGTGACTTGATTGAGATAAAAAAACCTGAAGCGAAGACCAGGTAATTATATTGCTTATAATATTAATAATCATAACAACTAATACAACTTCTGCAACTACTGTTACTATTACTACTGAAGACCAGGTCCTTATAGTTACATAGTTAGTCTGGTTGAAAAAGACACAAGTCCATCAAGTTCAACTTAATTTTTTTGCTTAAAATACTAATACTCATAACTACACCTACTAATTCTGCCACTACCACTACTTTTACTTATACTGCTCTTTCAACTGCTACTACTTTAATCCTTCTTCAACTGCCTTAATACTATAAGAGATTTTTGCTTAGAAAGTATTCAGCTGATCTAGGAGAACTTCTTCTGAAGACCAGGTAATTTTCTTGCTTATAATATTAATACTCCTAAACTACAACTACTAATTCTTCCACTACAGTAACTCATATTGCTTATTAAGATACTACTACTTTACTACTACAACTGCTATAATATTTTAAAGAGATTTTTGCTTAGAAAGTATTCAGCTGATCTAGGAAAATAAAAAAGGAAGGAATCCTCCTTTCTAGGGAAACTAGCCAGATTTACTAATGTTATAATTCTTTATGAAGCAGCGATGGCATCAGACAATGATGATAGCTGTAATTTAATGAAACAGCTATAGGAACACAGTTGAAACACATTCACGTGAGAAGCCAAAGATGTATAATTCTATTCAGCAAGTCATGTGATCATGTGGCACAGCGTTCCACCCAGCTCTTAGTAACCAGTGATGTCACTAGTTGCCAAGAACTGAGCTAGACAGTCTTGCCGGCATCCCGCCCACCTCCTGGCAACCAGGAGTAGTATACTGTATTACCCTGATTTTATTTTTATAATTTGTGCAGAGAATTTCAATGGGTTTTGAGGGGACAGCGGGGTAAAGCCTATGAGACTGAAATAATACATAACTGGATTAAATTTTAGTGCATCAAAAAATTCTAGCTGCCAGGATTTCATGCTGGTGCCAATACTTCCTGTGGCACCAACCCAGAACAAAGATGCAAATGAAGAGTTACTTCAAAATGGCTTACTAATTGCATATGTATCCCCAATCAGTGACTTAGAAAGTTTGCAGCCAGAGACAGACAGGCAACTTGTATTATTACATGGATGTCAGCAGTGATAGCACCCACACTGCAGGTTTCCCCTAAATGGCGCTAATTATTTGTTTAATTTTGCTTAAACAGTCCTGTTAATATAGCTGATGGCAGTGTTATTTTAAACAATAATGCATGTATATTTTTCAGGACTCAGAATTTAGACAACCTAATAGAAATTAAAAATACTAACACAACTACAAATAAGGGGTAAGTCAAATTTACAAATATATGAAGTGTCTGAAGAATAAGTCCTGCCATTAAGATAAACATTAGTTTCTTTTATACCTCAGATACACTAAAGCTGGCCATACACTTGGGCTAAACGAGAAAAAAGCTTGATTTACCCATCCATGCTAAATAGCGTGGATGGGAGAATCTTCTTTGCGGGGCTATTGTTTTTTTGGCGCACACAGCTGTCTGAATACACAGTGACTGCTACTAATTGGCTGCAGTCACTGTTTGACTGACATTTTTTGGCCCTGTTCCTTCGACAATTGTTGATTGAAAAATTGACTATGGTAAAATGGAGCGGTGCCAAACAGGCCACCCTTTTCTCAATTGCGTAGGGATCAGCAGTAATCAGCAGTATATGGCCAGCTTAAGGGCCTCTGTCAAAAGACTTTCTTTGTGTCAGAACTGATGCTTTCTACATACAAAGGAAAACAACTGTCAATGTGTTATATATGCATGTTATAGAAGGGTTAAAACCCATCTGTTCCTGTTCTGGTGGCAATTCCAAATTTTACACTCACTTTAATTTTCAGTGACAGTGGGGATCAGGACAATTAGAGGGAATCAATTTCCCTAATGGGGACCCAGAAAGCATGAAAAACCTGACAGTGATTCTAATCCCTCTCCACTCTATCCATATCTAAAAATAGGTCTTACCTTTTGTATTAAAGCTCAGTATTAAAACCTAGATAAACCACTAAATGGAATCCTTGACTTCAGCTGGTCTCATATATCTGTTAACCTGAACCTGGTCCCTAAACTTAACTCTAATCATACTATCATGAGGATACAGTGAAAATACCATTATACTTAGGGCCAGGTTTACATCACTGGAACCTATGGACACAGAAACTAGTGTCCAAGGCAACACCCGCCCACAAGGATTCCATCTTCTACTCTGAAAATGTTCTTGTTTTACTGGTCCTATGCTCGCGTGGTTTTTTGTGACAATGTGTAAAGAAAGCCTAAAACATTAAAAATACTTATTATTTTTATTCTGTAATCCTATCTGATGGTTATTGGACTAGTTTTTCGTATACACAGGCACTGCTGAGAGTCCATCTCGTGCATATGTTTCACAGCATGGTACACATTTTGACTCAGTATCCACCCAGAAATTTAACCTACTACACCAACTCCCCCTCCTATCCACTGGCTAGTCCTCAGCCTCAGTTAGCCCATACATCCACCTCAGAGTGATGCCAAGGGGCATAGTAAGAATGCATAATTACAATATATATCATTTTGCTAATGTTAACTATGCATATGTTCCTCTCAGTACATTTTCACTTCAAAATAAAAGCAGTAGTACTAATGTAATAGGATGTTGAGACCACTTTTGCTAACCTAGGTGCCAGGATTTCATGCTGATGTCAATACTTCCTGAGCCACTGATTAAGAACAAGTATGCAGATTGCAGACTGGAAGTTCTGACTTCGCTCTGACTTTCTAATCTCCATGCTTGTTCAGTGACTCAGAAAGTATTGAGGTGAGACATCTGGGAAACTAGTATTCTCAAGAGGAGGTCAGTAATGGCATCCCCCTTATTTTTCTCAAAATAGTTGTCCTTTAAATTACTCTGTTAGTTTAAGTGTTTACCAATAATACATGTATATCTTTCAGGACTCAAAATCTTGACAGTCTAATCGACATTAAAAATACTAACACTACTAGTACAAATAAGGGGTAAGTAAAACTTACAAATTATAGATTTATTTGACAAGCACTGAAGATAAAGAAGCTTCCAAAACTGTTATCTCTGGTTTGGGTGGATGCTGATCATTTATTTATCACTCAGGGACACTAAGGCTGGCCATACACCTGTCAATTTCTTTTGTTCAACCGGCGGGCTGAACGGAAAAAATTGACGTGATTCCTCCATCAACACAAACAGCATGTTGACTGAGGAATTGCCGCTGTTTGCATTGTAATACCTGATCAGAGTGGGCAGGTCATTGGCTGCCGGCTCTGATCGCACAGAGATTTTCCAGCCGGCTACTTCGATCAGCTGGTCGAGTAATGCCGACTGAAAGGGAGCCGACAGCCCCATACACTGCCCGATAAATTAAAAATCTGCCAAAATACGGCCAGTGTACACCTTAACAGTGGAATTTCTGTCCTGCCCAAATCTGCTTCTCATGACATCCTCTGCAAAACTACACA